AATCACATAAACGAGGTACATTGGGCTTAAATCCACAATACGAAAATGAATGACAATCAATAGGAATCATGGGTAAAACAAACAACATTCAATATGAGAGCTAACGAAATTTTTGGCCATCCATTTTTTATTCTATTTGTAGGTGAAATTTTTCTTCCCTGTTAATCAATCTTATTTCATTCCCATTTTTTCATGTGAAAATATTAATCAATCAGATTCAAGTTATGTGTAAAGAAACTAGGCCTCTTAGCCATGTATATGAAGTATAATTATTTATGTTTCGGTCATCCTTGTGCCTCTTTAAATGTAATATTTTTATTCGAATGCTGGAATTTCATAATTAAGCGAATTCGAGATTAACATGAAGCACCTCATTTAAAATCTTAAAATGTTCGACTACAATCTTAATTCATTATATTTTGGCATAAAAAGTAAAATTGGTTATGAGAAAAATTACAAAGAAATTCAAGAATACGTGATTAACACAGTTTGATCAGTTAACTCCATTTAAAAATTCAACTTGGGTCATATGTGTTGCATTGTCTCCTACCAGTAGAGCAGAAACTAAACTAGAACAAGAAGCTTCGACCTCTACCACAGAACTACAACTTAGAATTATTTCTATGCAGTCTTAATATTAGAATTGTGTATGCAAATGTTTACTACCAATAGGAATCATGGGAAAAAGTTTATCCCACAATATTGCATTCAAAGCAAGGTAGAATGGTTTTCCTATTCAAAGGGGAAATTAAATGACAAAACTTACTTGCAATGTCGGGGCTCAGGCAGGATCTTTAACAAAAAGAGGAACGTGCTTCAGGTCTTTTTTTGGAATTGTGGATTTTTGGTCTTCACAACCACATGAATGAACCATTCGTTGGCATCAAATCTTCGAGAACGGGGAGTTCTTACACAACTCCTGCCTGAGCTACAGGTTTGTCGCCGGATTGCACCACCAAGCCTGTCCAGAAAATGCCAGCAGTGCAAGAAGGAAGCATCGTGTTAAGGGTGCATAAAATTAATGTCGTGCCTTAGGTTTTGCTTCACCTCTCATGCGTCGCCGGAATTGCACCACCAAGCCTGTCCAGAAATTATTGCCGGGTTGCAATATGCCGGATTGCACCACCAAGCCTCTCTAGAATTATTGCAAGAAGGAAGTGTTGTTTTGGTTCGAAATTCAATTTCGTGCCCTAGGTTTTGTTGGTTCACCTCTCACGTGTCCCTCACATGCGGTATAAGTTCCCTCCAATTTCACTTGCCATATCAGATTTTTTGAATCCCTGTTTCTTGTCTGTCGATTATGCCTGTCCAAGAAGCATTTTTTATTTTTAAATTGGACAACTTAAACACGTTCATCTTCTTTGGC